CCAGGTGAAAGGCTAAGGTTGGCCTTTGTTAGCATATGGGATTTCTTCCTATTACTCATAAGAAAAATTCTGTGTTTCACAGTAAGCGTTGTATAACATCTTGCTCAGCTTTGGGGTAAGTTTTCTTACTCAAATTCTTTTTAAGCAGTGTAACTTCCTCCTCAGAAAAGGACGCGAATTGGTTTTATGCCTGTAATGGGAATATTTAGTCAGATTTTCAGAGAGCCTTTTTCCCACAGATATTTTTATGGGGGTCACTGTTTTGTCCTCCTTTCCATGAACTTTTGTTTGTAGGAAGAGTCTACCAAAAGCAGAATTCTCATGCGAGGGACTGTGCCCAGGTCACGAATGAAAGATGACATTTAAACTTGATGGAAAAGTGTAGTTGAGAATCTTGGTTTTCCCATCCGTTTTTCTCAGGTTCGAAGAAATGTCCTTTAGCAAAGTGGTGTCAGCCTGAGCTGCGTGTTTGGGAATTTGCATGAGGTAGGCTGGCCCATTCTCAGGAGGGGGGCTGAGAGCTTCTAGGCATTCCGCATTTCTCTTTCTTTGGAGAGTCTTAGTAGTGATCAAATGTATCTTGGCACATTTGAGCTAACAAATAGAGTTTTCCTGTGCTTTGGGTTTTTTTTCAGTTTTGAGCCAGCCCTTGCTGTTGACCTGGGTCAGGTTACAAGAATGTGGCTGTGCCTGGTAGAAAAAGGAGGAGATCCAAAGAGCCCTGAATTGGGAACCCAAAAATTGTGTCACATCACCCTTGTCACTTAACTCTTAACGTAATATTTAGGCAGCTCAGTTAACCCTCTCCGAGCCTCCATTTTTCTCTGTTAAGGTGCTGTCTTTTCAGTTTCCCTTAGGGATACAAGTGAAAAATGAGCAGGGAAGAGCCCTGCTGCCTGGAATCCTTGAGCAGATATAAAGTGAGGATGGTGTCCCTTTGAGAGCCACAAAGCCCTGTCTTTCTCGAGGTGATGAGAAATCCTGGCTGGGTCTTGATCATGGAAATAAAAGCCAGAATTGCAGTGGATGATGTTGGGCAGCAAGCCTAATGTATTCCTCAGAGTATTCCCGAAAGGAGGATTGGTGCTTTTGGTGATAGAAACTTCAGACAGTTGGGGCGCCTGAGTGGCTTAGTCAGTTGGGCGTCTGACTTTCACTTAGGTCATGATCTCGCGGTTCGTGGGTTCGAGCCCCGTGTCGGGCTCTGTGCTGACTGCCAGCTCAGAGCCTGGAGCCTATTTCAGAGTCTGTGTCTCCCTCTCTCTCTGACCCTCCCCTACTCACGCTGTCTCTCTCTCCCCTAGAAATAAATAAAAATATATATATATAAAAAAAAAGAAACTTCAGACAGTTATGGCTGGACTCCAAATAGCCATGGCCCTGCCCCATAACCTGGATGCGCAACCAGCTCAGTTAGCTCATTTATCTGGAATCATCTCCCATCTTATTCGCCCTGAATCTTTCTTTAGGAAAATTAACTTAGAGGTTCACAACCTGCTGTGTAAAATACTGTGCTTTCCTTTTTCCTTCCTTAAGCTTGACCTCTTTCACTCTAGAAATTTCAGAAATAGTCTACTGATATCCATATTCCTTTTCTGAGTTGAAAATGTCAGTAGTTAGCTGTCCATAGTGTGTGCTGTTTTTTTCCTGGGTAGCTTCCAAATCTTTTTCCTTATTGTAGTCTTTCTCCGTTCACCCTCATACTTTTCCTTATTGTCCTTAATTCAAGCTGTTTATGTGAAGCTCCCAAGATGTAGAGATCAGAGATACTGGGTCAAATGCTACTGTAGCTCTAGGAGAGTTATCCCAATTTAAAGAGAATTACTTGTTTTTGAAAACTATTTTGTCTCAAATCTAGAAGTAAAAAAAACCCCTTAAAATTATGATTTATTTTCTAAAAAGATGGCTATTTCTTTAACTTTACGAGGTACCCATGCGAGTATATTCTTTGTGTCCATTTGTGTTCTCTTGCCCTCACAAGTAAGGCCCAGAGCAAACGGGTTTAAAAGGTTGCCAAAGGTGTATTGGACTGAGACCTTCAGCTTGAGCATTAATTTTGCCCAAAAGCTCACTGAAAGGAGCTGACCAGAGGAGGTGTGGCCCCTAGACCTGGTTATGGGTGTTTGAATTATTCAGGTTGTGTGTGCCTTGGGGCCCTTTAAAACTGGAATAAAGAAGTAAGGAATGTCTTGTGGTTTTTTACTACCTTTTCTGGAGGAAGTTTAACAAGGCCCTTTCTTGGTAGCTCAGTGGTGGGATTTTTGAAGGGTAGATAGTGGTTTAGAAGTAAGGGGAGATTCGGAGTGGGATGGGGGTGCTGGTTATTGGGGGAGTGGAGGACATGCACGTAACTTTGTCATCTGCCATGTTTTATAGATGTGCAAAAGCTTTTAAAAGACACAAAAGAACTTGTGAATTCCAACCCATCTAATCTGGGCTGTCCAGCAGGTGATAACTTCACAGCATTCTCAGCATAACACATACTTTTACCTTGGGACTCTATGTTAGAACCTAGTAAACGTAAAAATCCTCTTATACTAAAAAAAAAAAAAAAAAAAAAAGTGGGGGGAGGGGCTGTGTGGCTCAGTCAGTTAAGCGTCCAACTTCAGCTCAGGTCATGATCTCGCAGTCTGTGAATTTGAGCCCCGCATCAGGCTCTGGGCTGACAGCTTAGAGCCTGGAGCCTGCTTCAAATTTTGTGTCTCTGTTTCTTCTCTGCTTCTCCCCTGCTCACGTTCTCTCTCTCTCTCAAAAATAACCATTAAAAATTTTAAAAAGATAATAAACTCTACCCTTTATTGAAATAGGCACCCAGCTTTGTTTCTGGAGGTCAGAGGAGAGTAGCTACTGTTTGATTTGGTGGCCTTGGAACCTGGTTGCCTTGGCTGGGATTCTAGCTCTGCCCTTAACAGTTACTTCTTTAAGTCTGTTTCCTCAGGTATAAAATTGGAATAAAAGTAACCACACCCACTTTATAGATACATTGTATCAGTGCCTGGGACACAGTACTTCATAGGAATTCTTTTTTTTTTTTTAATGTTTTAAATGTTTTATTTATTTCTGAGAGAGAGACAGCGTGAGCAGGGGAGGGTCAGAGAGAGAGGGAGATACAGAATCCAAAAGAGGCTCCAGGCTCTGAGCTGGCAGTCAGCACAGAGCCCAGTGTGGGGCTCGAACCCACAAACCATGAGATCATGACCTGAGCCAAAGTCGGATGCCCAAATGACTGAGCCACCCAGGTGGCCCCTTAGGAGTTCTTTTCTAAGGATAGATTCTCAGTGATAGAATTAACCTGGTAAGATCATTCCTTACAGTGTATTTACCAATCCCACTTTTTTGGGTTGTGAAGCTTATCTAAATGGTTCTTGTATAGGTCATCCATCACAGTAGTGCTAGAACTCTGGAGTTACATCCCTGGCAAACAAACTATTTTATTGCTCTTTCTTCTGTTGCCCACAGCCTGAAATCTATTCTTGGCCTTTGATATTTCACGAAAATGTCATTTCATTTCCCTTTTTCAGTTTGCTATGAACAGCAGAGATCTTAAGTATGCAGTTTGAGTTTTGACAAATGTGTACACCCATGAAATCCTCTTTAGGCCAAGACACACACAGTACATTTCTATTCCCTAGAAAATTCCCTTCTGTCCCTTTCTAGTCAAAACCTCTGCCTCTGTCATTTTCAGATTTTTAGGTCCTAGATTAATCTTGCCTTCTTGAACCTAACATATGGAATTTGAGGTCTAATTTAACAAAAACAAAAAACAAAAACACTTGTTTGTTTATTTATTTATTTTAAGCAATCTCTACATCCATCATGGGGCTTGAACTCATGATCCTAAGATCAAGAGTAGCATGCCCTACTGACTGAGCCAGCCAAGTGCCCCTGAGGTTTGTCTCTCATGCACTGTCTTTCAGCATTTTTATTGCTGGGGGTAATTCCATTGTATGAAATACTATAATTTGACAATCCATTCTTCTATTGATGGTATTTGGGTTGTCCTAAATTTTTGTCCAGTAGGGGAAAGCCGATATGAGTCATGTCATTTTCTTTCTCTTAATACTCATTCTCCTCCACCTCCTAGCCCTGCAACCCTGGGCAAGCATCTTAATCTCTCTGCCTTGGTTTCCTCATCTATAAAATTGTGGATTGAGAAACAGTCAGGGTTGGGACCACCCATTTTCTAAAAAATGAAATAGAACAAAATAGAAAAAATTGTGAATTACATGGAAACTCACACATTGCAACACACATGAATACAGTTCTATGTGTGTCCTGAGTCACAGTATAAAATGTATTTGTTATGAATTGTGAGTGAATCAGTTTGCAACACACTGGTTTGTGTGTCTTTGTAAACAAGGAAGTTGAACACCTGTGGGGTTATTTAGTAAATGCATATCTTTGGCTTCAGGTGTCTAAAAAATCCACTCTGTAACAGTCGCTTAGTACTGCTTGCTATGGGCCAGCCACTGTTTTGATAGCTTTATGAATAAAAAGTCATAGAGCCCAGGGGTGCCTGGGTGGCTTAGTCGGTTAAGCGTCCGACTTTTGCTTAGGTCATGATCTCGCGGTTCGTGGGTTCGAGCCCCGCGTCGGGCTCTGTGCTGGCTGCCAGCTCAGAGCCTGGAGCCTATTTCAGAGTCTGTGTCTCCCTCTCTCTCTGACCCTCCCCTGCTCACGCTGTCTCTCTCTCTCTCTCCTAGAAATAAATAAAAATATTAAAAAAAAAAAAGTCATAGAGCCCTTGCAACCATTCTATGAAGTGAGTTATTATCCCTACTTTATAGATGGAGAAACTGAGACATCAGTTATACAACTTGCCCATAGTCACAGAGCTAGAGCGGTGGGGCCATGATTTGAACCTAGGCAGTATGAGCCTCGAATCTGTGTTCTAAACCACTATTCCAGAGAAGATAAAGACAAAGAGGCAAGTGACATATGTCATCAAATGCAAATTAATAATGATCTAATTAATACAATGCTCCTCCTTTTTATTCCAGATATGAGAAATGAGTGTTGGACGTCGAAGAATAAAATTGTTGGGTATCCTGATGATGGTTAATGTTTTCATTTATTTGATTGTGGAAGTCTCCAAAAGCAGCAGCCAAGAAAAAAATGGAAAGGGGGCAGTAATAATACCCAAAGAAAAGTTCTGGAAGATATCTGACCCCCCTGTGGCGTATTGGAACAGAGAACAAGAAAAGCTCAACAGGCGGTACAACCCCATTTTGAATATGTTGCCCAACCAGACAGGGGAAGGATACGGGTTTTCCAACATAAGCCATCTAAATTTTTGTGAACCTGACTTGAGGGTCACATCAGTAGTTTCAGGTTTCAGCAATTTGCCGGACAGATTTAAAGACTTCCTACTGTATTTGAGATGTCGAAACTATTCACTACTTATAGATCAACCGGAGAAATGTGCAAAGAAACCCTTTTTATTGCTGGCGATAAAGTCCCTCATTCCACATTTTGCCAGAAGGCAAGCAATTCGGGAATCCTGGGGCAGGGAAACCAATGTGGGGAACCAAACCGTCGTGCGAGTCTTCTTACTGGGTCAGACCCCGCCAGAGGACAACCACCCGGACCTGTCAGACATGTTGAAATTTGAGAGTGAGAAGCACCAAGATATTCTTATGTGGAACTACAGAGACACCTTCTTCAACTTGTCCCTGAAAGAAGTGCTCTTTCTCAGGTGGGTGAGCACTTCCTGCCCAAACGCTGAGTTCGTTTTCAAGGGCGATGACGATGTTTTTGTGAACACGCATCACATCCTGAATTACTTGAATAGCTTATCCAAGAACAAAGCCAAAGATTTGTTTATAGGTGATGTGATCCACAATGCTGGACCTCATCGGGATAAGAAACTGAAGTACTACATCCCAGAAGTTGTTTACACTGGTGTCTATCCGCCTTATGCGGGGGGAGGTGGATTCCTCTACTCTGGCCACCTGGCCCTGAGGCTGTACAATATAACTGACCGGGTCCTTCTCTACCCCATTGATGATGTTTATACTGGAATGTGCCTTCAGAAACTTGGCCTCGTTCCAGAGAAACACAAAGGCTTCAAGACATTTGATATAGAAGAGAAAAACAAGAATAACATTTGTTCCTATGTAGATTTGATGTTAGTACATAGTAGAAAACCTCAAGAGATGATTGATATTTGGTCCCGGTTGCAAAATGCTCATTTAAATTGCTGAAATATACACAAACTAAGTTTTGCATAGAAAGACATATCTTGACTACTTCCCATGTTGTGTTCTTTCACATTAGGGGTAATATCTATGTTAAAGCATCAAAATTGCCTTCATTAGTAGTATCCATTTGAGGGTCTCTAAACCCTCCAGTGTGGTACTTTCTGAAGAGGGAAAGCAGAGGATCATTAACTTTTCACAGAGGATATGGTGGGAAGATCGGTTCCAATCCTTCCTATAGTGGCCATTATTTTCTAATTTGCCTCCCTTCTCAGCTGAAATCATAAGTTTCTGGAATCTGACCGGTTTAGGTTATGTATGTTTTGCCCTCATATGAGAATATTCTTACTTTCCATTATAATGAGTGAATTATCTGCAATTTAGGTGTTTATAAACTTACTGGCTACAAAGACCTTGTTATGTATGATTCAGTGGTTTTTGTTGAATGGAATTCCAGTTATTTTCATGAAATTTGGATGAACTTTTTAAATTGTCTACAAAAATTAACTTCTGTCAAAATTTCCTGCCACCCCAACAGCATTTTCTTGTTTTCATAGCTTAGTTAATTTTGCAAAATGAGAATCACTGTGTGACATTTATCCTGTTTACCTTGTTTTATGGTCTTATGGTCTTATGACCGTAATAAGGAGAAAGCTTAACTGTCCCGGTATTTGGTTTGCTGGATGATACCGTGATAGTTCCCTAATTTTAGTATTTGAAGATCACGAGTATGATTCCATAATGGCCATTGGAAGATTAAATTGACCCTGGCAGCCATATTGGGCTTCAGATTTTTCGATGTGGACCAGGAAGGCATTTGTAATTTCTGAACTTCAAGTAAAAAGATTGAAATTGCAGACCTTCTCGTGAATGGATTGTCAGTTTAAAACTCCAGGATTCTATTCTTGCCATATTTTCACATGTCGCCTATACAAAATTATTCTGAGTAGTGACTGCTTTCCTGTCTCAGTGTAGAAGTGCCTGTGTTTTTATTTATTGTTCAGATCGAAGACCAAAACATTTTCTTAAATATATTTTGTGTAATATTTTATTTGTATACAGTGTTGTTGATGAACTATTTAACTAGAGCATGGTATTTTAAGTGTTAAGGTGTAACATATGTTAAATAAAGCTAACTGTTATTTTTGAATTTTAAAATTTGGCTTTTTTCGGGGGAGGGGGTCTGTGAACTACTAGAGTTGATAAAATTCTGCCAAACTGTTGCTTACATATACTATCTTGTAACATGCTTTCTTGAAATATTTTTGTGTTTATAGAAATGATGCTTCTTACCAGATGTGATACTGGGGGCTGTAAGATGATGGAAATAAAATCACTGTATTTTTAATTGTCATGTGTAATGTGTAATCATCTGTGACTCTTTTGTTTCTTGTATTTGATTACATTTTCCCAAAAGAGACCATTTTTTCCTACCCAGAAACTGTCATAGTACTATTGACCTATAACTTTGTCTCTGTCTTTGCATTTAAAATTCCTAAAAGTGCTTTCCCATTTAGAGTCTTGAAAGAGGAGTATAAATATTTATTTATGCTTCCATTTGTGGTGAGTAGAGAGAATTTAATTAGGAAAAAAGCAGCAACTTTTTAATATTTTTGAGTGTAGTTGGTACACAATGTTACATTAGTTTCAGGTGTACAACATAGGGATGAAATTTCTCCCTACATTATGTTCTGCTCACCATGAGTGTAACTTCCATCTACCACCATGCAACACTATTACATTGTCATCAACTCTATTCCCCTGAGGCTATGCCTTTTATCTCCACAAATTTTATTCAATCCATAATTAGCCTCTATCTCCCACTCCCCTTCCCTCATCTTGCCCATCCTCCGTCTCCCTTTCCTTTGGCAACCAACAGTTTGTTCTCTGTGTTTATGGGTCTATTTCTGCTTTTTGTTTATTCATTTGTTTTTAGATCTTACGAGTAAGTTAAGAGTAAAATCCTATGGTATTTGTCTTTCTTTGTCTGACTCATTTCGCTTACCGTTAATACTCTCTAGGTCCATCTGTGTTATCACAAATGGCAAGATCTCATTGTGTTTTGTGGCTGGGTAACACTGCATTGTGTGTATATCTCCTTTATCCATTCATCTTGAGTTGCTTCTGTATCTTCATTATTGTAAATAATGCTGCAGGAAACATAGGGGTGTGTAGATATTTTTGATTTCGTGTTTTTGTTTTCTGTACATAAATACCAGTAGTGGAATTATGTGGATCATATGGTATTTGTATTTGTAATTTTTTGAGGCATCTCCATACTGTATGCATGCACCAGTTTGCATTCTCATCAATGATGCATGAAGGTCCTTTTTCTCTACATCTTTGTCAACACTTGGTACTGTCATTTTGATTCTAGTCAATGAGGTGATAACTCATTGTGGTTTTACTTTACATTTCCTTCATGCTGATACTGAGATACTGAGCATCTTTTCATGTCTCTTGTCCATCTGTGGGTCTTCCTTGGGAAAATGTCCGTTCATGTCCTCTGCACATTTTTAATTGGCTTATTTCTTGATGTTATAGAAGTTCTTCATATTTTTGGACACTAACCAAATTATATATTTGTTATATGTCATATGCAAATGTTTTCTCTCATTCAATAGGTTGCCTTTTTTGTTTTGTTGATGGTTTCCTTTGCTTCTTGTTTTGGTGTAGCCTCTATAGTTTGTTTTTGATTTGTTTCCCTTGCCTGAAGAGATATATTTAAAAAATGTTGCTAAAGTAAAGAAATTACTATCTATATTTTCTTCTAGGAGTTTTGTGGTTTCAGGTCTTACATTTAGGTCCTTAATCCATTTTGAGTTTATTTTTTTGTGTGTATGGTATAAGAAAGTGGTCCAGTTTCAGTCTTTTGCATGTAGCTGTCCAGTTTTCCCAGCACCATTTATTGAAGAGACTTGTCCTTTCCCCATTGTATATTCTTGTCTCTAAAGCAGCATCTTAAAGACTGTATTGTCCTACTCCACGTCTATTTGGGGGCTGGGTTTTAAAGCTTTACATGTGCCTTCGGCTCCGTAATGCTACCAAGTGATCTTTGAGTTCATGACACCCTCTTGGAGCCTACGAGATGGATTCTCCCCTGAACCTCCACCTTGTGGATGTAAGCATCACAGTCTAATTCATTCTTTGAGAATCACTCAGCTGAGTTCTGAGCAGAAATGTGTTTGGACCTTTTTAACGGCTACTCCCAAGTCATGTTGATTTTAGGTTTGAAGGTCAAGGCTGAATGACCATCGCCAGGGTTTAAATTTCCATGAACCCAAGCAGGCGTTAAAAGGGAAAGGATGAAGGAGACATCCCTGACCCTGGTTTCCTTTCTTCAGTTGGTCAAGGGAGAATGGAAAAGAAGGGCAGGAAGGGAATACTCTGAATCACTTGGAAGTTGAATCCAGAGCTAAAGCGCCCCCACCCCCTTCCCCCAAGTATGACCATCTCCTACCTTGTTACTCCTGATTGACAATGGTCTAGAATATTTGGTGTTCTGGGTTGTCTTGGCCCCCTCAGATGCAGGAAGAGAGAAGATGCATTTATTAAGGCAAAGGATGACTGACTTTCACTTCTAAGAAAGCCGAAATGAATAAAACCTTTACTTGGGCCAAATGTTAATTCAATGTGATTTGCCTTAATGAAAAATGTCAGATGAAGTAAAAATTCTTATTTGTTGAAAACAAATATTTCATTTGCTGGGCTGTGGGGATTTTTGGATAAATTCAGTTTTTCTTTAATGTTAATTGTATATTGGGTATATGTTTTATTTTATTTCTAACCTTTAAAATGTTTATTTCTGAGAGGGAGAGACAGAGTACAAGTGGGGAAGGGGCAGAGAGAGAGGGAGACAGAATCTGAGCCAGGCTCCAGGCTCTGAGCTGTCATCACAGAGCCTGATGCGGGGCTTGAACTCAAACCACAAGATCACGACCTGAGCCAAAGTTGGTTGCTTAACCTGCTGAGCCACCCAAGCGCCCCTGTTTTGTTTTTTTTTAACATTTAGTTATTTTGAGAGAGTGAGAGAGAGAGAGAGTGCATGAGCTTGGGGATAGACAGAGAGGGGGAGAGAGAGAGATTCCCAGGCTCTGTGCTGTCAGTGCAGAGCCCGATGTGGGGCTCAGTCTCACAAACCGCGAGATCATGACCTCAGCTGAAATCCAGAGTCAGGTGCTTAAATTGGCTATATGTTTTAAATCTTAGGAACATCTGCCACTTAATCTTGAAGCTGAACTTCACTGTGTTAGAGTTAACAGTAAATCTGAAACATTAAAGTATTTTTCCTGATTCACTCAGGTCTCAAAGTAATACTTTGAAAAGTTAGAGGCCAAGAATGAGCCATTTTTATATTTTAAGGAGCCGAAAAATCTTGTCGCGTTGTGTATAAAGTATATTTGTTAATTTTAAAATGTAATATTTTATTTATCACTGAAAACCCATTTAATATGATTTCTATCAGTTGTATGATAAAGCCTTAATGGCAGAGATATTAAGGTGAACTATTAGTCTTTAGAATAATTGAAATGCAGCATTAGCGTGTATATTACATGCATCTATATAAAAATTTAAAACTCTTACATTGAAAAATAGAGCCCTGCTTAGGTGTATTTCCTGCTTTTCTGTTACTCTCTGTGGTTAGCAATTTCCACCCAAGCAACCATGTGGTGCCTTTCGAGCTCTGGCAGTTGCTTTCTTCCTGCCTAGTGTGCATTGTGAAAAGGGAGGTACATTGACTGCACCAAAGCAGCAAAAGTAGCATTTTTAATTTGATTGCAATCCAAGGGCTTATTTCTAAGTCAGAGGCCAGTTTCTCTCTCTCCGTCCTGCATCAGGAATGCCCTCATCCTGCTCTGGCAGTAAGCCTCGGGAAGAACTTGGGCATCCCAGCAACGGCTTCTCATCGCCCTGGAAACCTACCATCTGGGGACATGCATTTTCCTGGCCTGTCTTCAACTAAATTCTCTTCCCGCTCATCACCAGCTGCTTCCCTAGATTGGCTTTCTTAACCTTTCTATTGAAACATCATCAGAATCCCTGATCCTGGCACCAACTTCCTTAACTATCAGAAAAGTACAAAATGAAAAAAATGTCCTGCCCTTGGTTTGGGTTCTTCCAGAAATAGACCTCTAGAAGAGGATTCTAGCACAAGTAGTTTTTTGGATACATGTTCTGTGCGAAGGTAATGTTGGGAAGAAAGGCAGCCAATAAGGAATGTGTGTTAAGCCAACTGCCAGCATGGAACTGGAGCTCAATCCCATGGGTCATCTGTGGAGAACAGTGTGGAAAACATGCCCCAGGATGATCCCTCTTAAGGCCTGAGGAGGCTGGGCTGTTGTTTACAACAGCTTTATTGAGGTATAATTTTCCCACCAGGATAGTGACCCATTCTGTGTATGATGATTTTTGGTCAGTTAGAGTATGCTGTAACTTGCACTGCAATTTACTACAAAAATAATTTGGTTTCCCACAGTATGCCCTGCCCATCTGTCTTTTGCTTTAACAGTGTCTGGATGGAACAGACGTAGGGACGCCCCTTCTACCAGCCTCCCGACCACCCTCCAACCTTTTTTGCAGTCACAACCTTCAGAGTCATTTTCTTGGCCATCCTCTGCCTCTGGGACCCACCAACATCCTATTTTAAGCTTAGTTCGTTTTTACCCATCAACCGTGAGCTTCCCGGATTCCTCAGAATTATTTCACTGAGGTCGAGGGGGCTGTCAACCTCCCTGTCAACAGGCACCTGCAGGCCTCCTACACCTACCTCTCTCTGGGCTTCTATTTCGACCGCGACAATGGGGCTCTGGAGGGCGTAGGCCACTTCCGCGTGTTGGCCAAGAAGTGCGAGAGTGCTGATTGTTCTCAGAAGATGCAAAATCAGCGAGGCAGCCGCACCCTCTTCCAGGACCAGGGTAGGCAGAAGCTGTTCCAGCATGAGTGTAATAAAACCCTGGACACCACGGAAGCCGCCCCAGCTCTGGAGAACGTGAACCAGGCCCTTTGGGCTCTGCATGCCCTGGGTTCTGCCCATGCAGACCCTCATCTCTGTGCCTTCTGGAGGACCAAGATGAGAAGGGGATCAAGAAGATGGGTGACCACCTGACTCACCCCTGCAGGTGGGATGGCCGCTAGGCTGCGGGATATCTCTTTGAAAGGCTCACCCTCAAGCAGGACTAGGAGCCTCTCTCCTGCAGCCACTAGGCAGCTTTTTTAACTCCTTGGGAGGAGCCCTCTCCCAAGCTGTGGACCAAATGGAAACAAAGCTTTTTGCAGCATGTGCACATGTGCGCACACATGATTTCTAGTGTTAATCATTGTTTTACTTGGCCTTCTGTAATAAATTTT